TTTTTTGGTAAATGCTCGTTCCCCCTCTCACGTGACCTCCCAGAGGGCGGGGCGGGGGGAAGCGGAGAAGGGACAGAACGTTCTGTTCTCACCGCCGGGAAGAGGAGGAGGAGGAGGCGAAGGCTGCATCCGCACTGGAGGAATAATCCGTTCCGATACCGCTTTAACTGCCATGGCTCAATGCTGTGGAATCCTGGGCATAGCAGCTTGTTGGGGCACCAAAGCTTCAGATTACCATGCCCAGAATTCCACAGCACTGAGCCATTGGTTGTTAAAGCGGTATCAACCTGGATTATTTCTCCAGTGCAGGTGCAACCAAAGGCAAAGGCGGGCTTGGGGCAGCAGAGCAGAGAAGTGAAGGGCCTGGAAAGAAGAAGAGGGGATGAAACATTAGGAGGAACTTCCTGATAGTAAGAGCTGTTTGACAGTGGAATACACTCCCTTGGAGAATGGAGGAGCCTCCTTCTTTGGAGGTTTTTAAGCAGAGGCTGGATGGCCATCTGTCACAGGAGGTGCTTTGATTGAGAGTTCCTGCATGGCAGAATGGGGTTGGACTAGACGGCCCTTGGGGGTCCCTTCCAGCTCTATGGTCCCTTCTTCCAGTCCCACCAAAGCTCTCTTCAGTATCACACCATAGTTACAGCACTATTATCCCAATTTAACTGCTATGGCTGGCTCCTGTGGAATTCTGGGGTTTGTAGTTGGGCCAGGGGCACCAGAGCTCTCTGGTTGAGAATACTGAAATGCCCTTCCCTAAACTGCAAATGCCAAGATGACACAAGAGGCAGGCCTAGCAGTTAAAGTGAAACTGGGGTGACCGGATGTCCTAATTGCAAAGGAGGACAAGGTACCGCAAAATGCGGGACATTCAAGGACAATGTGACCAAAGAAAAGTCAAAAGCTCATATTAATGTAAATTCATGCTTCTTAGTCAGGATGAGCAAAAGGAGGACAAGGCACCAGAAAATGTTCGTCATTCAGGAAAAATGCAGGATGTGACCAAATAAAAGCTACAAACACCTTGATAAATGTAAATCCATGCTTCTTGGTCATGCACAAAATGGACAGCATTTTGGAATTCCTCCTGGACAGAAAGTTGAAATCGAGGACATGTCCTGGGAAAGGAGGACATCTGGTAACTGAGCGGCATAATAGTGCTATAACTGGAACGTGATACTGTGTAAATTGCCTCTCCGAATATTTAACCAAGCAGACACACTTCACTCATTAGACGTACTTCTTGAGATGTATGTCTCCAGGTATCTGAAGAAATAGTCTACAAAAGCTTTTGCTACAACTTCTTTCATTCAGTCAGTCTCTAAGGAGCAACAAGATCCCTTTCCATACTGATATTCTTGGCATTCTTGGCTCAAGCGTCTACCACACGAATGCAACCGTGTATGCAATGCTGCAAGGCTTCATGATGGTACCCTCCCTGCCCACACTCTTCTGCTGGAAAGCTATCAGTCGTGGGCAACGCTGGCATGTCCGGCTGCGTTTCACCCAACACTGAAAGGGCTGCCAAAAAGATGTGACAACTAATGACTACAAATCCATTTCTGGCTTAGAAGAAATGGGTATTTTGCCTGTGCAGGACAGCTATTACTTTTTTAAAGGAAAGAATGGCTCTTGGAATGGTTCACAAGAAGCAGTTTACTTTTTGCCAGGAAAAGGGTGGTCCAGGGGAGTCTGGACCACAAAAACAGCTGGCACAGACACTCCCAGGGCTGCACTTTGCCCACTCCTAGTTCCACCCTTCGTATTTCTTCTGGGTAGCTTGCTATTCAGACTATTAAAAACACCACATTCTTACTTGCTGGAAATCATGCATACATGCATAGACAGACAGACATACAGAGTAAATAACATGTGTATGCATGTGTGCGTGTGTGGATGGATGGCCATAGCATGTTATTTACTGTTTCCATTTCCCTTAGCAGAGAAGGGCTGTGTCTTCTGAAAAGATGAGTGCTCATAAACAGAGCACACTCCTTACATTCTTCATCCACATGACTTTTGTAGAATGGCAGTTGAGGAACCAGAGCTTACAGCACTCTATAACAACTGATTTTATAGATACATACTTGAGGAGTTGCCTGTGCAAATGAATCTTCAAACATAAAACATCTTGCACAGAACTTTCCTGTGATCTCAAACCATGCTTTTCTGCAGAGCCTCTTTGCACAGGCAGTTGCAAATAAGGGTCATGCATTTATCCTAAGATTCTGTTCATGAATAGATCTAGCAGATGCAACAGTCTCCAAGTGATATTTTCACATGAAGAGAAATTTATACATGGCTCCCAAAATACCATTTTTTTATTTGAGGAACACAAGATAAACATAGCGTTGTCCTCAGGTTATCCAATATTTTGCATTTTTTCACAAAGAGTTGTATCTATCCTGAATTTTAAGCAAGTGATAGCACTTACTGTGGCTTAACTCTGCAGTCAGAATGAAGGATTTTGAGCAACCCATTCAAACACTAGTAATCTAAATGATTCTGTGACAGTGTCTTCTCATTTCGAATCTACAGAATAATTAGGACTGTTTAATCAATGCTATTCTACACAGAAACATAATGGGTGTACAGCGCGCCCACGCAATACGTAGGTGCACCATATGTGAACTCAGGGTCACACAGGCAGTGAGCCCTGGTACAATGAATGGGGTGCATGCCACAGGGACATGCCCCATTCAAACAAAGGGGAGGTCCTGAACTTTTTTTTGCTTTACACACTGGGGGTAGAACGGATCCCCCACATAAAAGAAGGGTCCATGTACTTTAGTTTAAGCAAGTGGTACCTATAAACAAAATCTCTGTTAAAAAAAAAAGAATTTGGAAACTAACAGGCCTGAAAAAGGTTGAAATATTGGAATTATAATACTAGATACTTCTTATATTACACACAACATTCTGAAGAAAAGAACTCTAGTTACATCCCTTCAAGGGATCACCAAATTGCCCCATGCAGAGGTATTCAAACCTCCACAGCATACGAATTATCACGTACGAATTATCACATTTTTTATGTACATAACATATTGTAAAGAAAACCAAAAACACAACATTAAACAGAACAGAATTTTATTCCAGATCTTAGAAACAAAATAATTTTCATTTAAGTTGTCAGACAACATTCCAACTATGCTTTAAATAATCACTAGGCTGTCTATTATGAAAATTGGTAAGGCAAAAAAAGTTCAGGTAGGCAGTGCTTGGTTTCATCCAGCCACTGTGGCAAGGAAGCAAGTAGATATGGAATGTTTTGCAACATCTGATACACAAGTACAAAGTTATACTGAAGATACACAGTATATCCATTAGGCACTTCAAAGAGTAAAAAAACAAAAACATACCCCACACAGAAAATGTTTTAGACATCCATTCTCATGACAGACAAAACAGTAAGGCATTAAAGTAGACTTGGTTGAATTCAGAGTACATAAGGGCATCTTTGGATCAATGGACAGTTCCATAGAGAAAACCTCTTCATACCCTGCAAAGTAAAAAGCAGTTTAGTCTCTCTCAGAGGCATTTAATTAACAAGTACTGAACTACTAGATTCTTGGGGAAATTGAGTATCTTGTTATCAGTATTTTCACTTATGACTAGCAAGATTAAGATCCTGTTTCTCTAAATTAATTCCAAGCCCCTGGCAGATACACACTACCTCTTCCACTTCTAAGTCAGGATTCCAAGTCAAGGAAACAGTGTACTGTAACCACACACACATCTCCATGCCTACTGCCTTGCAAAACACAGAATTACAGGTGACTTATTAAAGAAAAGGAAATCAGTCCTCTTATGCTCACTAGAGTCTGACACTACTCCCTATTCATTTCAAGTTTGATCTGCAAATAATGGAGCTTTGTCATGAGGAAGCTTAACAGCAAATAATTAAAAAGCCTATCAACCATCACTTGTTCTTAGCCATTCAGATTTTTCAAACAAATGAAATTACAGTTGTGAAGGGGAACCAGAATAAAAAAATAACAAGAAAGAAACATTTCTGAACTGACTGAAATTTGTTATTACAGAATCCAAATCTATGGATCTGATGCTTCGTGTAATCATCTTCTGGATAGCAAAATTCTCAATTTCAATTCCAACACAGTGAAAGAAAACAAGCATCTCAGTTCAAAAAACTAACAACCCTGTCAAGCCTTAGTCAGCATTCCCACAGCAAAACCTGACTGCTGAATTAGATTAGATATATTGTTTACACCATTATAAAGCACATTGGCATACATCTGTCATGCCCAATACTAAAATGGTACAGGAGAACCGTAACAGGTTTATTCTAAACTTTTTTCTCCTACTGCAGAAGAAGCCAGAAGCCTTGATCCAGCTGGCATCACGTATTATTTTGCATGACTATGTTCCAGTTTATGGCACATAGTGACAGAGACAGCCTCAGCTCAGGCAATAACTGAGCATACGCTGGCACTGTCTCTAAGACATAATAGCACTGTTTGACTGAAAGAGCAGACAAAATGTATGAAATATTTAGTGATGAACCCAATAACTTTCTAGCTACCAGCAAACCATTGTGGTGTAGTGGTTCGAAGGCTGGACTATGACTCTGGAGACTAGGGTTCAATTCTCAGCTATGCAACAAAACCCAATGGGTAACCTCGGGCAAGTCACATGCTCTCAGCCTCTGGGGAAGGCAATGGAAAACTGCCTCTGAACAAATCTTGCCAAGAAAACCCCATAATAGCTTCGCCTTAGGGTCGTCATAAGTCAGAAAAAACTTGAAGCACACAACACACACACAGACCCTGTAGCTATGGTAAAAAAATAGTGCTGCAAGCTGTAAGAACACAGTTGGATCCAAAGCAACTACACATATATCCTTCTTGGCCACAGATGCAGCAGTCAGCCTGTTCCCTTATAAACTTATAGTCTACTAAAACAAGGTTATAAACACTGACAGACAAATGTTCTATCTTTTTCTTGTGTACTTGTTTTGAGAAACAACCTTGTTCCTATTTAAAGACTGTACTGCCAACTGCACAAAAACCTATTTCCTATTGCAATTTTTATTTTCCTACTGCATAAAATGTGTCCAGGTACACATTAGAATATTGCCTGCACCACTGTCGCAATTAGTGTCCCAAACAGCTGCAAAAACTTTTTGATACCAGTCAATAACTGGAATGTGTCTGCTCATTTAGAAATGATTGCTACTCAACCCAAATAAGCAGCCAAATTGTATTTCTGTATAAAAGTTTGTTAATTTGAAGTTTTCTCTGGTAGTTTTTGTGTTCATTCAAAGTGTTCTATATAAATTTGAAGTTTAAACTTCAGTTAGGGCATGTCTCTTTAGTGGACAAACAAGAGGATCCCTGGTAGCTACTGGGAGGTTTCTGTTAACATGTAAGGAAACTACCCATTCTTCTTTAAAGTGAAAATGCAATATATTTAAGCAATACTAAGTAGGAACGAAAGAGCAGTTTAGCATTCAAAACAAGAAAAGCACTATAATCTCTTAGAAATCTAGAAATACAGAGAATGTGGCAGTGACAAACATCTTGCAATACAAGTCATACCCACTGAACCAACAATTCATTTTACAGAGAATTGTAGCAATAAAGGGAAAAATGCAGGCAGTCTAAATATTAATTCCACTGGTTACTCTTAACAATTATTAGTCCCTTTTCTTGTCCTTCATCTCCATCTTTCCCTATTCCTCCCAGCTTGATCTCCACCTTAGTGACTACAGAATTCCAAGCTCCTTGAGAATTTAGGCTAAATAGCCTGTGTGTGCATGTGCGAACATGTCTTCAAGTCACTTGTCAACTTATTGCAACCCCATGAATTCCATAAGGTTTTCTTACACAAGGAACACTCAGAGATGGTTTTGCCAGATCCTTTCCCTAAAATATAGCCTGAAGAACCTATTCGTTGGCAGTCTCCCATCCAAGTACTAACCAGGGCTGTCCCTGCTTAGCTTCCATGATCAAACAGGATCTGGTGCCTTTAGGGTATTTAGGCCTCAAACAGCCAATATACTACAGCCAAATTCTAAAAGGCAGTGTCAGGACTCTAAGACATACACTCCCACAATATGTTTATGGCAAAAATATGTTTTGTTGTCACAATCAATATTGCTTGTTATTCCCAGAAAAGCAAATTGTTTTTTTCTTGTGAGAACTGCCCTGAATTCAACATTCTCCCAGTTGGCAGTTTATGTTGTATATGTAGGGATGAGGCAGAGTTGTTTTCACAGGTTGTTAGGAGGATAAAAGGAAGGGGAAGATTAAACTATGTACACCATTTTGAGCTCTTTGGACAAAGTATGAAAAATAATGTGAAAAATGCTTATAATTAATAATAGAAGCCAACAATATTTACCTAGTCCACAAGGCACAACAGAAGAGGGCATCATTATGGCCAATGCTCTTTTAGATAAAGGATTATTTCACTTTTTAGCTGTGGCCCAAAGAGTGGGTTCAGCTGAGCCAGGATTGCAATTAGCCAGCTGAAAGACAAGAGGAGAATGTTAAGAGAATACATAATGGATGTGTGGCTAATACACAACGTGAATTTTAGGTGAAAGAGGAATCTAAAACAACTATAACTAAACAAAACACTACCAAAAGAAATGACAGCCAGAAAAAATTGAACCCCCATCTAGAAGGCATGTCTCAACTAGAAACTGTCCTGTTCCATTTTCAAGTAATCTTGGTCATCTATATTACATTTATGATATCTTCCATCTTATCAACAAGGATGTTTAAATATCGTCATCCCCTCCAGCTTCCAAAATTCTGAGTGCAATTATTTGAGTGTTGTTCCATACTGGGAGCCAGAACAGTACCACTCCCCCACAAAAGGGAGTTGAGAGAACCTTTTTTGAAGAACTACAGAACATTTTTTAGCACAATCCTGATAAAAATACAAAATACAGCTCCATGGAAACTGAGCATTCTCAGTGGCCACAAAATGCTGACTTGACTTTTGGGAGGAAAATAATGGAAAACAGAGGGCAAGAGAGAACGAGACATGAAACAGAGTATTATAGGGGAGGGCACAGCTGAGTGGAACAGTAAACAGAAGCATTATGTACTACATTTTACTGCAGATCCTCCCTTACTCCTTCCAATATGAAAGGCTCTTCTAAAACGCAACATACAAATTAATGTACTAACCTGGCAACCCTATTTGTGTGAACCATAATTTATCTTATACTAGCTCTAGTTTTTGCTAGATTAATATTTTCTGCTTTTAGGGGTATCCGTGCTATTCTGATATTGGCAGTGGATACAGTTTCATGCTTTAGGCATGAGAGATAACTGCTGCAGAAGTGTTTGGTCAGATCAGTCTCTTATACAGAAAAAGGTTACATCTTCAGCCCACATATCTTTTAATGATAGCCTCATACAGAAGAACTGCTAATTATCTTTGAAAGTGTTAACAATGGCTAAATAACAGAATATACACATGGCCCTGTCAAAGCTATAGCTAGGACAAAACACATTTTACAGTTATGGAATATACTCTGGAAAATTAAGCACACATATTTTGGTGTTACAAACCTGGTTTGACAACAACTGTAAATAAAAAAGTCTTCTGATCCCTTTAATTTATATGGAATTTATAGCAGAGTTAAACGCCCTGTACACAAAACATTTTGTTAATGCACAGGCACATTTAACAGCTATTTCTAGAATGCTTTGGAAGGAGGAGGAGAAAGAGCAAAGCAGCTTTGTAATGAGAGCTGCTACAAATGCAGAATGCTTAGGCAGTCATGGAAAATTCCACACAAACCTGGATGCTTGGACCAGAGAATAAAACGCAGGTCAGCTGGAAAAAGAAAAGCCATAGCAGTCGCAAACAAGCAATACAGGATTAATCCTCTTTAGATTTTGTCCATCATAATTCACAATGACAAATAATATTCCCCCCTGTTCATAATTTGTTAAAGAAAATACTAGTTATAGCAAAATAAGTACAGACCTCTAACACCGATAGTTTTGTATGCCTTTCACTAAAAACAAGCAATTTCAACATAGATTGCTACAGATATAGGATGACATTCCCCTCAGAATGAACGGCAGTTTTCCTTGGAATGATTCTGCAAATATCATAATTTAAATTGGGAGTTTGGCTGCCAAAATGTGGATGAGAAAGAAATTGTTACTCAGACCATGTCAGTGCTGTTGTCCTCTACAGCTAAAGGACATTCCCGCTTGTTCACTTACCTCTTAAGTCTGCTAGTAGCACTACCTGGTATGAATGCCTTGCCAAAGGCTTCCTGTATGCTATCAGTCTGAAAACTGCATTCCAGAAAACCTCTGGGGTTTCTTGGAAGCCACTCTGGCATCTTGAAAGGCAATTTATCTAGTATTTCCTGTTATCCTAAAATGAGCAGTTTCAGGGACTTTTAAATGGCAGCCTGCTCAGCTCACATGGGGCAACAGTAAAGCTCAATAGATTTGTCCAGTTACAGTTCCTCTGTTCATACCAAACACGAAATGAAATCTCTGCAAAACCCAGGGATACTATGACAGACACAGCAAAGTGGAAAGTATTCCCTGAAAGCAGACATTTTGAAAACAAAGGAAGATGCACTCCTCTAGATTTGCTAGGATGATGGGGCCTGAAACGGATAGCCTGTGCAGGGCTGGGTATTTTCTCTTCAAATCAGATTACTATTTAATCTTGATTAGTTACTATAAAATGCCAATGAAAAGCAGATATTCACTTCTAGTAAGACAACACATCTTATGGCAGGAGCAGGAACAATGAAAACCCCTAGATATGGCTACACTACAACTTCCAAGATTCCTCACCACTTGGTTGTGCCATCCATATAAGGCTAATGAGATTACATCCCAACATCAGATGGAAGCACATGATTCCCATCCCTGTTCTAAGAGGTCAGTTTATAGAGCTGCCATACTGAAATTCTCCAATGAGAATTCTCCAATGGGCCTACTCTGTTATTCTAAGATAGGTCAACCTCTTTGCAGCATAACCTTGGGGATCCTGATCCCTCTAAGGCAGAGCTACTATCCCCAGTGGAGACTAAGATACTACCAGTATGAAAGTCTCCCCATACTATAGTCCAAGGTTAATCACTCGCATCCAAAAACCATAAAGGTGGGTTATTCGAGCACGCTCAGGGTAGCTTTAAGCAGTGTCAACACTAACCTCAGCAAACTGCAGGTAAGCTCATCACATGCTGTTATAGTTTCAAAAGTCATATTGGTGGAACATTTAATACAGAACCTACCAGGCAACCAGAAAAATGTGTATCTAGGTTCCAATGTGGTTACTTCTAGGTAGGCCTGAAGCTCCAGAAACCAAGAGCAGAATAATAAATGGACAACCACAAATGTGTTTTGTTTGCAAGACTCATTGACAACGTCATCCACCCTCACATATAAAGGTTATGCAGTTTAATAATTAGGTATCAGAACAGCAGGAACAAAAGTAACCCTGCATCAGTACTCTCACAAAATTCTCAAAAGTTTCTACACGGAAAACTACCCATTGCTTTTGGGTCAATATACTTTTCACCCACAGCAAACTACTGGGATTATTTAGAACAAAGAAAATGTGTAGGGGTCATTATGAAATAGTCTTTCACTGAATTATTTGATGGTG